CTGCAACCCACAATACATTTTTTATTTTTGTCATTTCCTATTGTTATCTTGGGCTTGCAAACTTCGCAGTTGCAACAATTTTCCCTACAAACAAAACTGGTCTTCATCTACTACAAAATAGTTATCCTAGTAACTTTATGATTAGATATTTTGGTATTATTTCTGATAAGCATTTACTACTTATTAAATTTCAATTCCTTTTTATGTAAACTGACATTCATGCTAGTATATGGAATCTTACCCGGTCAATGAACACTCGGTGGACTTGGTGCAAAGTCACTACCTCACTATTGAGACAGTACCTTAGACAATGGGATATCATCATTCAATTCTTACTGCTTAGCCTCTCTGGTTAGGCTTGAATCTGTTGGCAATCAATATGGTCTCTGTGAACATTGAGTTTATGCACAAGACAAACGTCCTCGCATGTATGTATGTTCTTTGTCCTTTAATATGTACTACGTATAATTTTGTAGGTTGAGCGTGAATCATAAGGCCCATGTGAGAGGTGTGGGGAGATGAAATTTGATTGGAATTACCGAATTATTGTACATGCTTAGAGTGCAAGTGTGTGGCTGGCTAAATTGGAAATCTGTGTTGAGATACTTAATAAAATATTTAAAGGAGGGGTTCTAAATAAAATAAAGGAAATATAATCTATAAAATGATTACACATATTTCCTCATATGAGTATTTAGCAAAAAATAACTTTTGTACTACATACTCTATACTTTTCTAGTTTTCTTTATTATTAGATTCAACCATAACACTCGAGTTTGGTATAAAATGTGACTCATCTTGTCTTACAAATGGCAGATGACCAAAGTTCCCGCCATATGGGCCTACGGCGCCACCATAAACCTCCATAGACTACCGTAACCCGTCACTCTTCTAAAGTTTTGTAGGATTCCTGCTTTATTTTGGCCATGGCCTTCATTGGGCAAGACTGGACTGATCACGCTAAGAGAAAACTCACTTTTATTTCCACTGGCGTTTTACATGCATTAACACTGTTGTCTCCATTAAATATCCCAAACCAGAATTCACGTTCTTTTCATATAGTCTCATTAACACACGTTGAATTTGCTTGAATAGGTTGAGTGGCTTCAGTAATGCAAAGAAAGATGAGACGTCACAAGCCACAAAAGTTATTCAATCGGTGTAAAGTTGGTTAACCAAGATGCACCAGTTGTAGTTTGAGAGGGTGAATGCATCTTTCATTATACATCATAAAAACTTGTATATCATGCATGTTCGGGTGACGTAGCCTGCATGTATCTTTTCAATGATTTAGATCTTTGACATATCTAGCAATATGCTTTATAGTTATATTGTAAATGTACAACACAATTAACATTATTGATTATAATATGGCTGAGCATTTGCTGCAGTTGAATATCCCTGTAAAGATCTTTACAGGGATATTCAAGGATTTCAACTGTAAAGAGGAAGAGATTTGGTGCAGATTCTTGATTGCAGGTGTGGAGTCTTTGGCGGTGCCAGAATGAAAAATTATGGAAAGGCAAGCCTTTTACAATTGTCCAGGTAGAAACTCTTGCTTCAGCTTCTCTTGAAGGCTGGCGCAGAGCACAACCAGCAGCAAAAGGTAAGGAATCAGTAGCTTTGGATGCTTCCGGGTGGAGAAAACCAGATACAGGCGGAATTAAAATTAATACTTATGCTGCTGTGAACCGCGGTGCAGGAATTATTGGCCTGGGTTGCTATTCCTCGAAAAGGTGTATGCTTACTGAAAGGCTTTATCGATGAGAGAGGCGCTCAACTGGATTAAGGTAGCAGGTCTGGACCAAGTTGACGTGGAATCAGACGCTTTACAATTGGTTCAAGGAATCCAATCAGCCCCAAGACCCCAACTGAGTCTTCTTTTGGTTTATTGATAAACGATATCAGCAAATCAAGCGGCCCATTATATGGCACGGGCGGTTGTTTCTATGTCTGATAGCTCTTTATTGCAACATTTTCCTCCTCATTGTGGGAGTATTGTAAATGATTGCTAATTAGTACCATTATTATTTAACTATTATGAAAACTTCTTAATTACTTGGTCATAGTATATATGTGATATAACTATATTTCCTTGATATAAATTTTTATAAGTGATTATTGCTTTTTTAACCATTGATCGGGTTGTATGCGGTAGGGAAAGCATTAATAGATACCACACATGAATATTAACTCCAACCCATGAGCAAAAAATGTTGAAATAAGGGCATGAATGTTACTACTTACTAGTAGAATTTTGTTGTAAAAATGTGACACTTTTTCATATTGATAAAAAAGTGACTTCATAAGACGTAAAATATCACAAATTCATTATTTTATAAGGAAAGTGGCAAAGTTTTGGAACAAACAAAAAAAGAAAGTTGACAAAGTCAAATAGGATAAAGGGAGTAATTTGATAGAAATGGTACATATAAATTATCGGATACAGAGAAGTACAATCAATGTATTATACATTATTTATCCTAGGAGTGTGATCATTTCATATCGCTTCTGCAATTTCATCTTTACCACTCATTCTCTAACTTCTTGTGTTCTTCCCTTTCCATTCTCTAGCTTCTTGTCTTTCATCCCACCGTAGTGTCCACACAAGAGATAGAACTATTATCCATCACTACAAGTCTACAAATGGTTCACAAATGATTAAACAATATTAGCACTATGAGCATATATCACAGAATATAGAAATACATCAAGCATTAGCATCATGTACTTATACCATAACTAATCCGAAGGTAAGACAAAAAAGCTCATATAGAAACCCACATTGCATTCCCATAATTCCAATTAAGTTTCTTATTCGTCAGTATTATATAAAAACAACACCACCTACATGTATGATAATACAAAAAATAAAAAGTTAATGTTATTAAAGATTCTTACAATGTAGTCAAACTTACCATTTTAACTCCCATCATAAGTTGACTGACCCAAATTATTCCAATGCCCACAAGGAGTATTCTGCATTACATTAATGTATGGATTGGTAAAATATGATTTAAATAGATTATCACTTACTTTTAAAGCTTTGAATGATTATTTAGCGTGCTTAAGCCTTATTGTTTGTGTACCTCTGGATGTGAACATTCCATAATGTCATTATTTAATTTCTTACAAACATAGTACACTACCATTTCGAGCAGTTGGAATAAATTACCGGCACCTATCCAATGATTTTAAGCATAGGAAGACTACACGCGACACGAAAGGATAGCCATGTACCAAAAATGGACAAAGCCACAGACTGAAATTGATGCAATTCTCATAGGTTCCAAATTGGACTTTATTCTTATTCTAAGAATAAAAGAAAGTCATATACACACATTATTCTTATCTTCCTCTATCTTTTCCTTCCAAATTTTCTCTCCCTGAGATTTTCTGGTTTGCAGTGGACCTTATCTCCCAGGGAATGAAAATAACAACTACCTATATACAGAATAGGCATACCAGATTCACTTACCCCAATGCCAATAGACATGCCACGCACTTGGTGAATAAATGACACATTAGATGGGTGGCAGTAAAAGAACCGTCTGAAACTGGAGATGCAGGACCTAATGGTGCTTGAGAAGGAATACAACTCTTCGCATTGGGATTTAATTTGAACTCCTGATAACAATCAGTAAAAACTAAAAAGGAAGGTGGTGAGGAATAATAAGATTCTTTATACCACCAATACACCGATTTATTCCATTAAAACACCCATTAAGTGAACCTGTAAATTAGTATATTTTTACGGCAAGAAAACATTCAAACATTTGTTTCATTCAAAGAGGAGGAGAAATGAGATCTTAGATCCAATTACCTTAGCGTTAGGATTCAAATTTGATTTTTCTGATGCCAGTGAACTCACAGATGAATTTTTTGATACTCTAGTAACAGCTGAGATGTTAGAATTAACAGATTGCGGTATTCCCCTAATCTTCTCACGACTCTCAGCCTAAGAGTACTTGCAGTACCATTTTTTGATGACAGATTATTGTTATCAAATGGTTCACTTGTGGATGAAGATACCGAGGAGGCGGCCTTTCGATTCTCTCGCCCTTGCTTCTTCTCTTTCGTAGACGGTAGAAGACCCGGAGGGAATCAGTCGCTTCATGGCTTTCGTAAAAGAAAATTGACAAAACTGGGTAGGAAGGACTTTTTTGCAATATTAAACGCATTTTTAGTAAAGAACTGAGATGGACCAAACTCCCAATGACATAGTGCCAAATGTCGGATGTACCAAAACATTCACGGATGCTATTGCACCATAAAATTTTCCAAGTATAAATTGCTCTACGCATGTGTTTTTTAGCGGTTAAAAATGACATAAACATTAAGTGGCCGTTTGGTAACACTGTTTTTCGGCTTATCAGGCTTACCAGCCAATTTTTTCAGCAAACACGTAACTTTTTTTTTCACGTCCTGAATTGTGTACAAATAAGAAAAAGTAAGGCTGAAGTTACTGTAGATGATCATTTTAGCTATTTTTACTTATAATTTTTTCATTATTTTATTAATAAAATATGTTTTAAAAATAATTTTTTATTAAATCAGCAGAATGAGGTAATGCAACCACTTCAGCCAGAACTTCATAAATTTCAGCCGAATCAACCGATTTTCTTGTTACCGAACAGGCTCTAAATTTATACAGATTATATATTTTACCCTTTAAAATAAAAGAAGTTGCTTAAAATAAAAATAATACATAAACAAAGCCTTAAAGTAGGATTACATATGTTATTTCTCTAAGAGAACTTATTATAATCATAATTATAATTATAGCTATAATTATAAATACACGTACAGCTATAAATATAATTATAATTACACCTACAACTATAACTATAATTATAATGATACCTATACTTCAATCTATAATTAGTTTTTTTATTAAAATTTATTTTGATTATACGAAGTACATGCTTGATAAAAAAAATTAACCAATAAGATTATAAGAAGAAAATAAGATTACCAAAAAAAACTTTAAGTGGGAGTGTGGGACGACGAAGTACACGTTCTATGCAAAATCGGCGGCATATCTTGGGCAGTTGAAAAGACGAAACGAGCAATGGGAATCGTGAAAGTAATCGTCTAGTAACCGCCAACCCCTGACTGACTGTTTTCCCGAAAACACTTCGGCTGAAAACTTAGCTCTCCGTCGTCAGCTCAAGATTACAACTTTGAAGTAAACGCAGAATGAAGAGAAGTCGAGAAATGGAAGAGGACGGAAGCAGAGCAACTGCCGATGAAGGTCCGGCGATAGGGATCGATCTGGGGACCACATACTCTTGCGTCGGAGTATGGCAGCCCCAGCATGTCCGCGTTGAGATCATCTCCAACGAGTTAGGCAACCGCACGACGCCGTCCTGGGTTGCGTTTACTGATGCCGAGCGCCTTATCGGAGAATCTGCCCAGAACCAGGCCTCAATGAATCTCTCCAATACCATCTTCGGTATGTTTCTTTACAATATAACAGAGAGAAAAAACTTTCAGTTTCTTTTTTCTGTAAACCTGTATTGCCAAAGCATAAGTACTTATACTTTCTTGATAATCTTATACTTCGTATGCCTGGTGGCTACTAAAAAAAACCAACCGGATACCTATTAAGGTGCAATATAATATGCTCAAAGCTAGGCATTAATGCTAAAAGCTTTATGTGGAAATTTAAAGAACACCTTATCTTTTTCTTCCGCTCAAGTATTACATTAATTTTTGAATATATACTGATTTGTTAGAGAGGACCAATAGCATATAATAGTAACATTTTATAATGTTGGCCTACTCATTTATGTAACGAATAGAGTCAGTCGTGAGTCTTTTACCACCTCCCCTATAATGAGTTTCAAATGATATTAAACTTTAGTAGCATGTGTGGGTGACTAGATAAAGTTTATACAAGCTTTATGCTCTTTAAATTCTAAATGTTTGAAAATTAGCTTGTAAGCCTGCCTTAAATTTACAAACGCAAAATAGGTGCTTACCCATTAAACTTATTCTACAACATTATAAAACAATGTCACTGTAATCAGCAAACAACGCTCACTGCCTTAAGTCCCTCTTTAGCAGAAGTTACCAATTAGTTAGTTTTTATTGATGTACGAAATACTGTCAAATTTCGGAGTGAAACAGGTTTTGGGTGTAAGAATATATCTTGGTGGGTCACTGAACATCTATTTTTTGGTGTGTTTGCATGACAGAAGTGAAGAGGCTAATTGGCAGAACTTTTTTTGATGCAATGGTGCAAAACGACATGAAACACTGGCCATTTAAATTGACTGTTGTCCCTGATGCTGGGGTTGGAAAGAAGCCCATGATTGTTGTCACTTACAAGGGGGAGGAGAAGCAATTCAGTGCAGAGGAGATATCTTCAATGATCCTCCAGAAGATGAAGACTATTGCAGAGGCTTACCTAGGCAGACAAGTCAAGAATGCCGTCATTACGGTTCCTGCTTACTTCAATGATCTCCAACGTCACTCAACGAAAGATGCAGGTGTTATTGCTGGACTTAATGTCTTGCGTATTATTAATGAGCCCACTGCTGCTGCATTTGCATATGCTCTACACAATAAAGGAACTGGAACTGCTGATTCTGATTTAAAGAATATACTGGTTTTTGATCTTGGTGGGGGGACATTCTATATCTCTATTGTCACAATGGTGAAGGATGTAATTGAAGTTAAAGCCGTTAATGGGGACACTCACCTTGGTGGAGTTGATTTCAACAACAGAATGGTGAATCACTTTGCAGCAGAGTTTGAGAGGAAGCACCATAAAGACATCAGTAACAATCCAAGGGCTCTTGCGCGGCTTAGAACAGCCTGTGAAAGAGCCAAAAGAGTGCTCTCTTCAGCTTCTGAAACATTTATCAACATTGACTCTTTGTTTGATGGTACTGATTTCTCTTCGACCATATCCCGTGCACGATTTGAGAAAATGAATTTTGATCTGTTCGAAGATTGTATGGCGACTGTTGAGAAATGTTTAAAGGATGCCAAAATGGAGAAAGGTGACATCGATGATATTGTACTTGTGGGTGGGTCTACCAGGATCCCAAAGGTTCAGGATTTGTTGCAAAACTTATTCCATGGAAAGCAGCTCTGCAAAAATATTAGCCCGGATGAGGCTGTTGCCTATGGTGCAGCTTTTCACGCTGCATCCCTGACAGGTGCTTGCCTGGGCAAGAATAATGATACTGTGCTTGTGGATGTTTGTCCTTTATCTCTTGGTATTGAGTGTTATTCTGGTGACATGTCTGTTGTGATTCCTAGGAATACGACCATCCCTACAGAGATGTCAAGTAAAAACTACACCACTGTTTTGGACTACCAAACCTATTGTATCATCCGGGTGTACGAGGGAGAGATGCCCATAGCAAAATACAACAACTTCCTTGGTGAATTTTCCATTGAAGGCATCCCTCCCGCACTTGCTGGTGTCCCGAATTTGACTATCACTTTCGAGATCGATGCCAATGGCATATTAACTGTGACTGCAGAACTGGAGGGCAGTAACAACAGCAACCAAATAACAATAACCAATCACAGCGGGAGGTTGACAAAGGAGGAGATTGATAGGATGGTGAAGGAGGCAGAGGATTACAAGGCTCAAGACGAGGAACGCAAGAAGGCGATTGAGGCTAAAAATGATCTGGAGAATTACATTCACCACGCGAGGCGTTGTGGAAGGAGGGTTCAGACGAAGGCGGCAAGGATAAGATTGAGGAATGCAATTGAGATGACGGCTCAATGGTTGGAATGGAATCACCTGCTCAGGGATGCTTGCAAGTTTGAGGAAAAGATGAAAGAGCTGAAGAGCATGTGTGAGTCAGTCATGGCAGAGAGGCATCAGCAGGGAAGTGACACAGTTGTCAAGCATGAGATCATTGAGATATCGGACTAACAGAGGCTGTTGAATTTTGAAGTGGCAATATGTTTTATCTTTTAATTGACTATTTTTTTCCCTATTGCTTAATGTGTGAATGTCTGATCATTTCCAAAACTCTCGCATCTTTTTTGACTTTAATGAAGCCCTATGTTGCACGGAAACGTGAAAATCATAAGGAAACGGGAAACGGGAAACGTCAACTTTTGCTCAAAAAACGCTTATTTGGAGAGTTTCCAAAGAGTTTCCGAGAGTTTCCGAAACGGGAAACATACTCTTTCCCAAGAGTTTCCGTGCTACATAGATGAAGCCACATTGTTTGTTTCCTTCTCTTTAATTAGGTTAGATCAGTTATGGTATTTTTGTATTACCTGCTTGTTTTATAACTTGCAGTATCCAGTTATCATGCGGCCTGAGAGCATAAAAGACATGTTCTTTTCCCAAGAAAATGAGAACTACGGAGTATTTTTTAGGACGACTCAAAAAGGAAACTGAGAACTATTTTGCGGGAGGGATTATATTACTAGAATGGGACTGAACTAGGTGATTTAACCCGAAAACCGACCACCCAACTCACCCTGCACTGAATCCAATTCCGGTATGACATAAACCTGTAAATTGGGATTAATCCTTGGCCCATTTGAACACAGAACTTCCCAAACCGTAAATGTGAGTAAACCAGATGACTCGAGATTTTTAGTAAAAGATGCTTGTGGTCGTTGGGGTTTGAACACAAGACACAAAAGTATCCCCAACCATGAAAAACAATGAGGTACTCCAAGTCGTTTGTTCAACTAAAAAATGCTTACATTTTTTAATAAGTGCTAATAATAAAGTAAATGTATATATAGTAATTATGGCTATTATATTTATAGTACCAATGATTTATTTATTCAATTATTCAAAATATATAGCAATTATATTTATACATTTTTTTTTACATTTTACATATTGTCCATGTAATTCTAAATACATTTTAGATTTTGTGAAAACCTTTATATTTGATACATTATTATTGTTTTATGTTTTTGTATCATTAATGTTATTATTTTATATTTTATTATCATTTTTATTTTACGATTAGAAATAGGTTTTAACCTTACACCAATAATCTGAAATATAACTATACATATCTTATACGGGGTATTTGTTTAGTCGACGTTGATCGGGTAGACTCACCGTTGACCGGGTTGACCCTTGACTCGATAAAGTCTCCATTATCGCCTCCCGTATGTTCTGACAACATAAAAAAATCATCATCACCTCTAACTTTCTAACGGCTAAACTTCATATAAGATATAATCAGATTTTTTCACTATCAAAAGAAAAATTCAACAATTCACAACTGCAGATTGTTTAATACTATTTATACTTTAATTCAAATGAAGTCTATTTATATATAAGAAAAGAGATAGCTCCTTAAAAGACGGTTCTACCCTCAAATCCTACGTGTCTCTTTTTGCAAGTTTTTCTCCTTTCACTTTCTTCTGCCACGTGGCTCCCCCACGTTTAAGCTTTTTTTTTTCTCCCGAATTTTCCTCAAATCCCCCCTATGCTTTCCATCCTCTCCACACTCTCACCAAATTTCCAGCCTAATTTTTCTCACATCTCCAGCAGCTACATAGGTTCATATGCGAGATTATTGCACAGCTTTAACCTAATCGACACTAGGGTTCATACTCTCAGTAGCCGAGGTGCGTGCTTTGTAATTCTTCGTTTTTCTATATTTCGAACGAAATTTCATGCCCCTATATATGCTTTCCATCTTCACCTCACTCATCAAATTTTCACCCTAACTTTTCTCTCATCTCCCCCAGCCACACAACTATTTGCCTGTCAAATGTGCTGAGATAGGGCTCATATACCCAAATTATTTTTTGCATATATGATGTTCTAGGAAATGCTTAGATGATCATTTCATACATGTTGTTCCAAATATTTGTTTCATCAAAAATCATAAGTTAGTGTTGGCCTATATTAGCTATGCTCTTCTACAGTTTTTACCTTTTCCCATACGTCAATCTTTTGCTACATTAGTATCTTGATCCAAACCACCCCAAGAATACTACACAACCTAAAGGATGTGTTATAATTGTAATCCCGATCGCATATAAAATATGGAATTTATATTTCCGGTGCATGTTTACAGCTAAGTTTTCGCTACATCTCCATATAAGTTTATACAATTTGCTTTACATTTCTTATAATTTACACTTTTTATTCAATTTATGTATTTGAAGCAGACATTTTCTACTAATTCAGATGTCACAGTTTCAATTGCCACATGCAGCCTCCGGAAAAGACACCACTTTCTTTAGTCCTCTTTAATTTATACTCCCTCCGTTTTGTAAAGAGTTGTCACATGGTTTACCATCTTTGGCTAACCTTAAAGTAAGTTGATCTCTATTCAGCTAACAATTGAGCGGGAGAATGTTTCTCATATTTAGATCTTTTAAGTATAAAACAACTTCTTAAAAGAGGTGGAAAGATTGACTGCGTATGGTAATTGCTTTCATTGAGGGCTGATTTGCAAGACCGTAGAACTGATATCAACGAATATGAAATTAATTCCATATTGTTATTATTGTGATTGTTATAATAAAAATAATTATGGCCGTGTAATCTAATCTTTTCTATTTATATACTATGTATAAGAAAGGAGATAGCTCATTAAAATACAATTATGCCCTTAATGAATCCTATGTGTCCCATCTCCCCACAATTTGCTCATTTCCTATAAAAAAATGTCTATGTGGCGTTCTCTTGGAATAAATTGACTCACCAAAAAATGTCATCGTTACTATTCTCACCTCTTTAACTAGATAACTAGATAAAAATTCTTAATACAAATTAGGGGTCTCAATCAAATAAAATCCCCTAATTTTTTTAAATCACTACATCTTTTTTATTTGTAATCTGATTGTCATAAAAAATATACTCTGTATAAAATTTCATAATTTTTTATTATCTTTTATATGACACAAATATTGTATATATAAATATAAAAAATAATTTAGCACTTTAATAAAACTTACGGAGTTTGTTTTATAGTGTTATAAGTTTTTCATTTGTGCAGTTTACGATCATTTTTTTGTGCACACTATTAATCTAGAGTGATAGCATAGAGTAGAATTGCAAAAATTCCAACGCAAAGAATAAAACAAATAAAAAAAGTTACAAATAAAAAAGTTAAACACTTTTAAAAACAGATGTATTTTAAAGTGTTAAATTATTTTTTGGAATTGTGATATACTCCCTCCGTCCCAAAATTATCTTCATATTTTCCTTTTCGGTATGTCCCAAATTTATCTCCTCTTTCCCTTTTTAGCAAAGAATTTGTGGTTCACAACCATTTTTACACATTCTTACACATTTCTCTTT